TCCCCCACAGGAGGAAGCACGAAAGTGCCCTTGAAGCAGTCAGGAAGCACCGGAATTAAATCTGCTAGCTCACGACACCAGGCACCGCACAGCTGGTCAGGGAGAAGCAGCAGCAGTCGACGTGGCGCACCAACCCCAGCCAAGGAGGTACAGCGATCAAGGAACAATGGTACAGCGATCAAGAACGGGAGCCTTGCTTCCACGCGGGTGATGACGATATAGAATTACGGCTGAGCACTTAGCCGGTCTTCTTTCTTTTGTAACCTCTGCACTGGGGTACAGTCACAGCAACGTTTCATTCACCGTTCAGGAATACATCCTTGTGACTATATGATTCGCTTGCTAAATTTTGTGTGCACTACGTGTTTTCAATTTCGCAATCAGCAGATCAAATTAAAATTAACTAACTAGCATTTCTTGGAATGAATCAATACGGGAAGTATCGGGAAAATTAACCTTATACTCGGCCAATCCACTTCATTAGGTGCGAGCCATGTTCAAAGGCAAACAACAACCACAACTTAGTCTTGGAGCAAGAAGAACTGCGAATGTGTCTGGTACTCCCACCGTTTATAGCTATCAATGTACTGTATTAGGGAGCACGCATGGCTACACTATTTTGTCGATTTTGTATTTTGAGAGTGCAACCATTTTTTAAATTTTACAGCTTACCGACTAGAAGATCTCAGTGTGCTTTTATCTCAGACCACGACACCGTCTTTCTTGCTCATTGGCCATGATTTCCCACACCCCAGATAATGTTTGTACAAAAGCAACTACAAAGCATAAATGTGAACATTAGAAATTTACTGTCGTCAAATGACTTGAATTGTAGTCTTATAATTGGATATGATACTATTTTCCTAAAAAAGCTTAGTTCCAGTCTCTCAAAGCTTTAAATAACATGCTGATAGATTACCTAATGCATGCAGAAACAAATATTTTAATAGCCACAGATGCTTCAGTGAGTAATCAAAAGGCAGGTGTAGGAATCGCCTCGGATTTACTTGACTGGTCCTTCTCAGCGCGACTGCCTGATTTCACTCCAGTTATTGAAGCTGAACTAATGGCGGTTATTGTAGCACCTCGAAAAACGTCCGTAAAATCAAAACAGCACAGTCCTAATGAAAGAATTCCTTTCAGTTAGTGAAACACTGACAGCTTCTGAGCACTCTTGAACTCTAAGGACATTACGAACATTAGTACCACCAGAGTTGAGACACCTGAAATTACTGTGGGTTCCAGGACACTGAGGATTAAGATTAAATGAATTGGCCGATTCCCTAGCATGAGCCGCGCTTGATGGCCAAATGTTGCCCGTACTGCCAGAAGTTGAATATAGTACCGCAATAAGATATGGAAAATTAGGAATCTGCACTGATGTGTTAGAAACAATAACTAGGTGGACAGAATATAACCACGTCAAGTTTCCATGGCGACCCCAGTTGAGTCAGTTCCTGATTACTAGATTTCGATGCTGTGTCCCCCTCTAAACCTATATGTACACAGAATGATACCACCCATCTGTGCATTCTGCGGGCAATAGAATCAATTTAACGTTACCTTTTATCTTGTCGCCGATACTCTACACTTATAAAAAGACTTCTAGTTATTCTCTTTCTAAAAATAGGTGTTATATTGATGGCGGAAACTGTAGTGAACTTTGGCGCCTCAGTTTTGGGACACTGCCACAGGTATGCTTTCTATGCCGTCTGCCATTTCATTCAGACATCTAAATTTATCCCAATGTAATCCCCAATCAAATAATTATTATCGTGTATCCTCAAAAAAGTATTTAACATAACTTCTGAATGGTTAGGTGAAGTAAACGCAGCTGTGGAGTCGTCTGAACACCAAAAATCTCAAAATCTCTCAAATTGACTTTTCTATTTTTTCCCTCTCTTTTTTTGTAGTTTTCCTTACAGTAGTTACATATTATTACAAACTCATTCTTACACATAGTTGGAATGCTCACAGAACAAGTACACTACGCTTTCTTGGCCAATCCTGCCGAGTCGGTACGAGCCATAATTTCAAGGAAACAAACAAGCCTTGAACTACGCACTCGTGGGGCAATCAGCATTTTGCGACGACTTGGTGTTATTTTACTCTTCTACCACGTTATGTTACGTAGGTTAACGCGGTTCCTCACCCAACATGGCGTTCGTATAGGGGCTTTCGGCAAGTTTCTTTCAAGCACCGATGTGGCTCTTTAGCCACTTGAATGAATCGTAGAAAACTCAACTGCGACGCAGAAGATTTGGGTACGAATGCCATTCGATCTTGCGTATTTGTTTTTCGCTTCATTTTTGTCAAGTCTACCCGTTGCTTTTTTATGCCTGTCAGTTACACCGCTCACGATGAGGGCAACGCCGACGACGCTCAACACACGAACGGGTGCACAAGATCTGTGCTCTAAAGGAGAGCATATTTGAAGCTTGCATGTCAAATTCAAAAAAAAGAGGAGGCTACTCTAGAAGATAGCTGGTTGGAACGCGAGCAAAACCACGTCAGAACGCCTCCTGCGAACCCACAATTACATGCAATGTTAGGAAGGCCAGGCGTCTTTTTTTTTTTAGCTATTGAACTTCTCGAGCCATCATATGGTCTGGCACGAGCTTTAGCACAGCCGTGCTATAGGGTCGTCTCCGGCACAACAAGCATCTTACACAGGCCACAAAAATATGGCTAATTTTGCACGACGAAGAAACGATGCAAGACTTCAATGTGGGGTTTCCGTCATAACGTTCACAGAATGAAGAGTTGTTTTATTTATTTATTTATTTACAGTACTGTTAGCCCTCTCGGGCTGTTACGCGAGTGGGAATGAAAACTATACAGTGCTATGTACAAATCGTTCCAAACGTCGCTGAAAAACTTCAGCTGACTCACAAGCAACAAATACACTAAAATCAAGCTAGTTCTAGTCAACAATCGTATGAGGCAAAAAATAGAACTTGAATACGTCAATTCTTGGGGCACAGGGCAAAATAGCGTATACGGACGATTTATTCACGATGACACTCGGGCTGGAGGGTGCAAGCACAAAGTCGGATCGATGTTTAGCCTGTTATTACACAGTTGATAAACAAACTTCAAGGGTGCGATTTGTCTTCGCTCCGACAGCCTCTGAAGGTTGACCCTGTGAAGTTGCGCGGTCACTGATTCCGTTTTCTGGTAGCACGAATAAATAATCCCGACTGTCATTCATTGGATCCGTTCCAGATCATCAACGGGCTTCTGAGTGTGCGGGTGCCACACAATGCTGACATATTCTAGTGTTGGACGCACTACTGTTTTATAAGCCATCAGCTTTGTTTCAGGCATGGCATCTCTCATAGCTTTCGCCGCAGAACAAACAGCTTACGTTCAGCCAAACCACAAATATTTTCAATATGCTTGTTTGAGGTTAGGTTCGAAGTTATTGTGAAACCGAGATAATTTACCTCACTAGCTCATTTAACTTTTATTTTTTTATTTTATACATATGCGTTAATGGCGCTTTCTTATTTGATATCGACCTACAGCTAGTCTTGTTGAAGTTAGTTTTCATATCCCATTAGCAGAAAACTTACGCAGCTTAAAGCGCATTGACGCTCTATCTTGCGGCTACCAGAGGGGGTAACTATCATGCATTCACGCTATATATATATATATATATATATATATATATATATATATATATATATATATATATATATATATGAGATATAACAGACAGTAATGCCAAGGAATGTACAGGGGAAGTTATTAGAACCAATGGAATGTAAATAAGAAGAAAGAAAAGTGGATGAAAAAATTACCAACTGTGAGCAGGAATCGAACCTACGACCTTCGAATTACGCGTTCGATGCTCTAACCACTGAGCTATCACAGCGGCCCTCCCTCCATCCACTTTTTTGGGTTTATCTGTGAATTTAGAAGTAGGAGCGACAGTCAGCACCATCTATAAGCCAAACGACGAGTGTGAAAACACTCTTATGCGCATGTTTGGCGTCACGTAGCACGTGACCTTATTATGAGCGGGCAGCTGATTAATTGTCCCTCTTATACAACCTAAACACACCAAGTCTGCCAGTACGAGACCCTCGTTCAATGAAATAAGGGAAAGAAGTGTATACCTAAGGGCTCGTTTTTCCGTGTTTTAACACAACATTAATGAGATATAACAGACAGTAATTCCAAGGAATGTACAGGGGAAGTTATTAGAACCAATGGAATGTAAATAAGAAGAAAGAAAAGTGGATAAAAAATTACCAACTGTGAGCAGGAATCGAACCTACGACCTTCGAATTACGCGTTCGATGCTCTAACCACTGAGCTATCACAGCGGCCCTCCCTCCGAAGGTCGTAGGTTCGAAGGTCGTAGGTTCGAAGGTCGTAGGTCGTAGGTTCGAAGGTCGTAGGTTCGAAGGTCGTAGGTTCGAAGGTCGTAGGTTCGAAGGTCGTAGGTTCGATTCCTGCTCACAGTTGGTAATTTTTTCATCCACTTTTCTTTCTTTTTATTTACATTCCATTGGTTCTAATAACTTTCCCTGTACATTCCTTGGCATTACTGTCTGTTATATCTTATTAATATTGTGTTAAAACACGGAAAAACGAGCCCTTAGGTATACACTTCTTTCCCTTATATATATATATATATATATATATATATATATATATATATATATATATATATATATATATATATATATATATATATATATATATATATATATATATATATAAACGTATACTGGTTTGGAAGCAGCGGTAAAATATCCTTGTGCCACCTTTCTGGCTTCTCCAATGAAACAGCCTGACACGAGATATTTGAAAAATTGAAGGTGATTGCGACCTTTATAACAAACGAGCACTACGTAACCATTCGATGAATGCTAATGAACGTGTGACTGCAAAGCGCCCTACATAGCTATCGTCAAAGGCCTTCACACGTACAGTTTCCAAGCGCAAGTTTTCCGCTTATGTTGTTATGCATTGTATTTATCTGTACTAGGTACAGACACTGATGACAAAACGGGGACACCATAGTCGCCAGAGACACGGGAGCACTCGCGTGTTCCTTTACACGGTCCCGTTTCCTTTGCACTTTCCGCAACGGAGAACTACGAAAACATACAGTATGTACACTGTTGCGAAAGGCGACACTTGCGGCTGCCTCCGTAAACATCACATGGAGCGCGCGGGGCGCGACCCAGTGCGACAGGACTCTCTGCAGAGGCGGGCACCAACCCCTTCCTGAGTACGTGTCGGCCGATATCTTCCTTGAGCAGGTCTCGCTAGAGACGTCGTGGGAGCACGTGAGCTCTCACAACGCCACTGCACACGCGTGGAGGCGTCGCTTCGCACTCGAGCAGGCCCGGGTCGATTCTCCTCCCGACTGGAAGCACACAATCGACGAAAAGCACAGCTGTTTCTCTTACGCTCGACGGACGACTCAAGAGAGGCCAACTTCCACTTGGCGCTGCTTGGAGTGGTCGCAGCGTGTCCACTCTCGTCTGCGCTCGCTAAATATTCTTATCGCCCAGAGAAGGCAAAGAGAGGCGTTCACGGCGGCCGCAATGTGAAGGAGACCGTCGTAAGATCCCTGCTGGTCCCGGTAGTAGCCTGCAGAAGCAAGCACAAACAGGCAACGTTAATAGAGTGGTGTCTAGAATGGGTTCCGGACGCTACGAATGCACGGTGAAGGCAGAAGTTTGGAGAAGAGGGTGGAGAGCGTGCTTTGTTGCAGCATCGAAAGTTAGCGAAACAACGACACGTGAATGTGATGCAAGCCTGCAGCGCCAGTGCTACATACAGCCGAAAACCAAACAGTGTCAGAAACTGCTACAAAGGCTGTTTTAGACTTTATCAAAAGCAGTGGACTAGATACTAGACTGTAGGGTACTATGCTAAGTGGCTACTGTATATACGCACCACCTCATTTTGTCCCCATCATCATCCTTCATCCCTCTTTCCTTCCCCCTTCCCTCATCCCTTGTGTAGAGTAGCAGGCTAGAGCGAACTAGCTCAGGCTGACCTCCCTTCCGTCTAATAAAACCTCTCTCTCTTTCTCTCTCTCTCTTTTTCTCTCACTCTCTCACAGCCGAAAATATGAGACGTAATAGCGAACACATAAGCATTTCTTGCTTCATGAAAATAACTCTCTTCAAGCTTGGTCAAAAAACAAGAATATCAATAAGTCATCCGATTTCAGGTCGCCAAATGAAGAAGGACTCCGTATAACGTCTGGCCACAAGGGTCTGTACTTACAAAAAATTGACGCTGAAAGTCTTCGTGAGAAAACTACTAGGCCAAATCGCGATACCGGACATGTCGTTAGCAAGAGCAGCTAACCAATTGCAAACCTCCCCTACGAACCAAAGGCTTTCTGCATTCGGCCTTTAATGTTCTTTAACGTGAACATGAGTTCAAAAACACATTACGATTTCGCACCTATCATTCAGAGATGCGTATCTCATAGCAAAAAATCCAACCGGTGAGCTCGCGATGAGCACCACAACACCATAGAAAGTGAGGCACTGAAATGAGTAACACTTAACATAACATAGCGTCTGATCTGCCGAGAAGGCCACAATGGGTGCTTGTTAACACACCTATTGATTGGCGTTGCCCATGCTTGAGTTCGCAAATACCTCAAGGGGCATTAAAGAGAAACAATGGCTTCATTTATGTTTGCAAACTGCGCTCTGAAAAGTATAACACCATATGTTTCACTTTCACAACTTCATTATAAAATGAAAAATATCAAGATTGAAGCTTCGTTTTTAAATTTAGCGCCAAAATGTCAGTGCGTGACGTTGAAAACTTCAAAATGTAATTTTCCTATTTTCGCGTTATCGGCTTGATGAAAATGTCTCAAACTTCGCATGATAAGTATATAGCACCCATAGACGACAGTGATCTTCAATTTTTATCTGTTATAAGCTACCCAGGACTTAGTAGATGCCTTCGAAACATATGACGTCACGCCGTTTGGTGCGGTAATCTGAAAGAGCGACTCCACGCCCATTTTCTTTTCGCGTGTTTCTTCGCTTACCAAGCGTCGTGTCGACTAAGAACGGTGTTTTTGAGATTGGGAAATAGTACTTTACTAATACGCGACAAATCATCTTGCTCCTTAGCGTCCCTTTAGGAACAATAGTTTAGCGCTGTGCTACAGCTTAACTGGAGAAGAAGCGTCGCATGGCCTAATGCATAGAGGACTTGCGAAGCCTCTCTCCGTAGGCAAATAGCCTGCCTATCCCCTCACCACGGCCTTTTTATTCTTGCTTGGAAAAAATAATTTTAGCGCCTCGCCCCCTCTTCCTTCACAGTTAGAAGTGCAATTGATTATCTTCATTTCATTTCCTGGTTTGTCTGTCATTTGTCCGTGTGCTTCTAACTGCCTCAACATTGTAACGATAATATATATTCATCTAAATGACACATAACGACGTAACAGTACGCTGTACATCTTTGCACCAGTTCGACACACAAAAACATTTATTAAGCGCTATAGCATTGATTCTTTGTATTTTATGCTTGATAGATCTACGACTACCTGGCGTGCATAAAGTTACCTTAACTCGTGCAAATATATTGCACTATTTATAGCAGTTTCATTATTTGAGCATGCATTTTTTTTACTTTTTGACACGCAAAATATGCGTATCCCAGCACCACCAAAAGTGTTTGTAATGGTGCCGGTTTTATATTTGAACGAGGAACTACAGCAGGGGCTACTTACTGCACTTAGTCTTTTTCGCGTTACGCAATTACTCGTGTTGCTGGCAGTTTGATGGTTCCACATCGGCTGCAACAGCGGTGGAAATTCCACGTACGAGGCCCACGGGACGGCTTTGGGCTCTCCCATAGTCGAGTACTAAGTACTCGAAATCGTTAACCACTTTTTCTAAACACACGATTGAGGTCTGTGGTCTGCGGTGTGTGAGGCCCACAGGGCAGCTTTATGTTCTCTAATTGCAGACTACCACGTACTCAAAATCGTTAAGCACTTTTTTTAAACACACGTCATAATTTAGCTAGTGTGATGGCGAGGATTTGTCGTCTTTTCTGAAAAATAATAAGTACAGACAGTTGACGAGCTCATTAACAGTTAGGCGAGCAGGTCGACTTTCCGACAGCTTAAGACCTTCTAATGATTGCGAGCGACGAGACTAGCAAGAGTCGCGTATGCGCATTAAGTTCACTGTAACCGCGAGCTTCACCTGCGTGTTTCTACTCACAGGCCGATCACCACCCTTGTCGTCTACATGATGATTGCTTTAAGAAATTGGATTGGAGCGAAACCCTAGCCGTTTTGTGTGACACACTTCAAATACTACTCAGAACACGCTAAGCGAGGGTCCTCAATGCCCGACCGAAACACAGACACTTATGTAAGTCACATATTTTGCTTTAACACCTGGCCATTTTCTCAGTAGAAATTTCCGGGTGCTTGAAAGCATGTAGACAACGACGAACGTAGCTCAAAGTGGCTTTTGAGCTTTCACGGGGAGACAGACTTAGGCCCATATTCATAAATCAACCTTGGCCTTGCGTCTAATTTTCCTCAAGTGTCTGTACTCCCCACGTGCGTTAGGGCACAGAAACGGTAAGAGGGCAAAATATAACAACAATATTGGTTCATTTATACTGACCTACTTTGTTTATTAAGTGCAATGCATGATTAAAATTGATAACATAAATTCGAGGTAAGGTTGGAGTTCGTTTGCGAATACGGGCTTTATATACTCACCATTAGAGCACGTGTTGTGATGGGAAAACTTTTCTGCGTAGTTTTCATGCAATATATTCTACGCTCAATGGTTCATTCCAAATTCGCACCTCGCCTACAGAGCATTCGGTTTTACGTAAAAGCTTTTGTGTGTTGTGCACGTCGCCGCATAGGGCAGTGTGTCACCCGTCGGTGTACCTTCTATATCGCTCCCTTCTTTTTTCTCTTACCACGGTGCCCAGTAGCAGTCTATAGACAAGCTTTTTTTAGACCAATATCTGCCAATTTTTCCAGATTTAGCATCACCTTCTTCGGGAAAATGAAGAACAGATGATCAACAAAAAGGCGTCCTTACTTAGTCGCATACTCCCTGCTTGCCGCTTGCGCTGTTGGAGCTTCTCACCGATTTGACCATGCTAGGCTCTGTGTCGCGCTGGTGGTGAGCATTCTGTGGACAAAACTTGCGTTTTGGTTGAACTTGGTGCGCATGCGCTAGTTTTGCAAGTTGTGTCACTTAGCTCTGTTGGTAGACACCGAAAGACCAGTCAGCCGACGCTTTCGTGGTACTGTTAACGTATCGGTCGACTGTAACTGGCAACGAGCCGTTTTATCGATGATACGAGTGATCACCAGTGTGTAGACCTTACGGATATTTTTAGCGCGAAATAAGCACGAGATACGGACAAGCGCATACCGTCTAAAATCTACCGTAAGAATGAACCTACTCACCCAACAAGTTATTTACTGAAGTATGTAGACCATAAGACCAAATATACTTACCAACCAACATCGGCCTGAACAAGAGCACCAGGCCGTTGCAGAAGGAAAGGGCACCCATCATAACGGGCAGGTGCTGTATTCCGAAGTCCTGGACGAGAAGCGGCGCCTGCAGCGAATGCCTGAACCCGTTGCTGATACCTATGAGTGCCGAACAGGCCATCATCGTGGGGAACGTCCTGAGCCACACGAACAGCTCGAAGCCGGCGGCCTGAAGGACGTATCCTAAGAGCATCACAGAGTCGAGCGTCAACAGGCCCCAGTCTATCACGACACCACTTAGAGCCCTGCACGCAAGGTCGCCAGCCGCGAAGGCGTACACGAGAAAGGCCGCGCGGGTTGGCAGGACACCCCGATCGGTGGCGAGGTCCACGTACAGCATGAAGTAGGTCGTCAGTCCGAAGATTATCACCGAAAAAGATAGCGAGTCCAGCACGAATCGCCACGTTCCGAAGAGTCTCGCGTTTGCTGTCAAGTCCTGGAGGACTCCTTTTTCTGCTTTCGCGCTGGTCGTGGATCGAAGGAGCGAGCAAAAGTTCCTGAGGTTCGGCGCGTATTTGGGGACCACGATAGCTTTTGGTACAGGCACCAAAGTGATACTTTCTAAAATGGTTTTCTTTCCCTCCTCTGGAGCAGTTTGTTCTTTCTCGGGATATGCCGTCAGCAAGGGAGCTACTGCGGACTTCTCGGTCTCTGGGTAACTCTCGCCTTTCTTGCTGACGGAAGAATTCTTGTTCCTAAGTTCCATCCAGGCCGGGTTTTGGACGGCGATGGCAGCTGGAAATGTGTTCAGGATGAGGCCTCCCAGCAGCAAGAACGTGCCCCTGATGCCATAGGTGACGCGGAACAAGTCGGCTAATGGGGCGGATAAGAACATGTTTGCGGCGCACAAGGTGAACATGAGGCTGCAGGCCGTGGCGCGCCGCTTCTCGAAGTGTTGCGACGCCAGCACTTGGACGCCGACGAACACTCCTGACACCGCAGCTCCTGAAAGAGATGCAAGGATGGAAAAATATAAAAGCTTTTTTCACTTCTCAGTCGAAAATTACGTCAGGGCACTCGTAGGGGGCAATCAGGAATCCTGTAGGTCGATCAGCATTTGTCTGAGTAACAACTAGAGGGTCATAGCAATTAGGATCAATTAAGATCTCTATCTGGGATCTTGTACTGAGGCGGCCATTCACAACCATGGCAAATCAAAGGTACTGGGCTTGTCATTGAGCTAAAGTTTAGGTTCTCCTTAGCTTCCATAAACAGAAGAAAGCTTTACGGATACTTTTTGTTGAAGTTTTCGTTCCCCCATGGTGTTTCAACTCATAGTTACCGCATGAGTTGGATCAAGAAAGAAAAATGCTTGGGACCAGTCCAGAGGCCGATCGTGCCACTCATTTTAGGGGGGGGGGGGGGAGGGCGTGGCCTAAAATTATACCGGAGAAGTGGGCAAGGTCATGACTTTTTCTTGATTTAACTAGCAGAAACCCCTTTTCATAGCATAAATATACTGTTAATGTACGCTCACAATGGTTTCGCTCTTTGTCGCGATTGGTGATAGGAGCACTGAGGTGAGGGGGGTGTGCTGACACAGACTTGGGGGGGAGCAATCACCCCTACCCCCCCCCCTCTGGATCCACCACTGGACCAGTCCCGTCTGGTAGCTTACCCGTGCACTGTTAATTGCAATAGACGAGAAAATAATGTGCAGGATCACAATGTGCAGGATGTGCAGGATCACAATAATGTGCAGGATCACAATAATGTGCAGGATCAAATATTTAGCAGGATCACAAAACAACTTAATTCCGTGTGAAGCCGCAGGTCGCTAGTGAGAGACCTGCAGGCCGTCTGTTTGAGACACCTGCGTCCGACGTTCGGCCCTAGAGCAAAAATATTGCACCTAGAGCAAAAAAAAAAAAAAAAAAAAAAACTTATGGCACATTGTAATGTGCCCAAGCTGGGGAACGGCACTGCGTATTTGTGTGATGCAAACTTATCTAATCATATCTCTACCAATGCTAGTTCAATTGCCAAAAATTATGAAATTACGTACGCAAAACTGGGAAACTTGTTCATTCTACCACCGACAGTCGTCTCCCGCTACTGGTGACATCGCATATCTGGCATTCGTAATTCTTACCATGCACAATTCCCAGGACTATTGTGAGGAAGAGGACACTGTTTGCGAAGTAACAGGCGCAAACTGAGATTGCAGAGGCGAAAGAGAAGAACATCAGCACCGGCCGACAAGAGAAACGCTGGCAGAGATATCCGATCACGGGACCTGCACAAAAGAAGGCGAAAGGTTATCGTCGACTGTTGACGCTTTAACGAAGGTGGTGCGAGCAGTCAGTCAACTTGGTCTCCGAACTTTTAGGCAAGATCTTCGAATGGGAGACCTTAAAAATGTTACGCAAAGGCGTGGTTTCGCAGAAGAACATTTTCACGTTATACGCAACATACTTCTGCGCATTATTTGCGGAGGAGGATTCACCCTGCCATATTTATTATCAAGCTTCTACTTCTACGCTTGTTAGCGCTGCTCACAGAGCTAGCACGTTTGAGATATGAAACCCATGTTAATTAAGTAAGTGAAGTCGGCTATAGTTTCGTTATGTTCGAAATATGATGACTAGCGTTAGAAAAATATGGCTAAGTGATTCCTTCCGCTGGATCGGCTTGGCTCAATACTAACAAAGGTCGACAAACGTGGTAGTATGCAATGAATAAATGTTATTGGTGGTTTATTAATGGCAACTTTTTATTAATGCAATATTCAATTGCATTATTCATTGAATCACATTCTGATATGGCACTTTCGGATTTACAAAGGCAAGATTGGTTGGTTCTGGGAGAATTTTTTTTTTCAACTTTCATCTCATAAGCATAAAGCTGAACTTGTCTAGGCTGCAGCACATTCTTCGTTTATACGATGGTCACCGGTGGTCACCATCTCCGCGTGACAGGGGGCTGTGGTTAGAGACCACGGCTATCAGTTTACACGACTAATTTTTCCTGCCAAACCACTCCTCGGTTTTCAACTATAACTGCTCAGTAGACTATAGGTCGGCGAACAGACTGATTCCCAGAGTAGCCAAACGCACGAAGGGGGAAAGAAAAAGTTAGGTGGGCCAATGGGATTAAGAAGTTCGCAGGTATAGCGTGGTGGCAGAAAGCACAAGACCAGGTTGGTTGGCACATCATGGGAGAGGCCTTTGTCCTGCAATGGGCGTAGCCAGGCTGATGGTGATGATAACTGTCTATATTAATAATTATTGAGAAGGGTCATCAACAAAGAGAAGCGCACACTTAAAAAAAGAAATTTTCTGCTTTCGCTGCCTTCTTGCCCATATTTTGCTTGTAGGCCAAGCCCTTTTCTATCACGCTGTCCAGGCATTTGCCAATCGTAACGGAAGCCTATGGGAATCCAAACTGTTTCCAATCATCAGCCATCGGCCACTGCTGATACGTTTACGCTGTTATGGTGAATATATGGCGGATTGTCTGTGGCCCACAACGCAACACCACTTTCCACCCGATGCACGCCCACAACACGGAAAAAGAAATCGCAAGCTAAACCAAGGGAGCGCCGGCCCAACCCACACTATCGATAGCAGACAAGCAGACGCTGCAGTGGCACATCAGTTCCGTCACTTCCGCTTTGCAAAATGTAATGCAACACGCACAATCTTGCTCTTAATTCTGGCAAGCGAGGTGAGCGTTTGGAGGCAGGTTATAAAATTTATTTGAAACAATTATTTGAAACTCTCAGCTCAGCAATTTAACATAGGGCGGAAACGTGGAAACGAACGTACCCAGTGAGTTTCATTGAGATTCGTTGGCAGCGTAAATTCACCGAAGTTGCATGGACTTTCAATCTACTCATTACCACCATTATATGAGCCATACCTGGATTCGTGTTTATACTCACGTTTACTCGCAGGTACTTGAAAGCAGTATCGTTCACACACCTTTTCAATATTAATTGATCAGAGCTATGAATTACGTAGGAGAACCCCGCTCACCCGCGCACTCTTCCAGGGAAGTTTATGCAAATATATCTTAAGTTGTCGCCTCTTTCAAGCACATTGTTCTTCCTGGTTTGAAACCACTGCTAATTCGTATTCGAAGGTACTAAACGGCGCCAAGAAGCGCACCGATCACGAGAGATATTGGTGTTAAAGAGCATTGGCACCATGATCGTAAAAGCCGATTCTATACTAACGGACTCATGGTTCGACTCACTCAAACTCATTCGAACTCAAATCGAGCCCTGAGTCTGAGTGAGTCCGGGTGAGTAGTAGTTTGCTGAGCTCAAGTCTGAAAGAATCCGGTTGAAGAGATTTTTCGTGAGCATGCATGAGTTTGAGTGAGCGTGGCTCAAGAAAATTTTTGTGTGTGAGTCAGAGCGAGCCCTAAGCGCAAAATATATTTCATGAATGAGTCCGAGTGAGTTCCACAATTTTTACTGACCTATGATAGTAGACATACGGCAAATGTACCATTACATCCTTTATATTTCCATGTGCTCCTTAGGCGATTAGTGCACCTGCGATGATTTCTTTATCAGCGTATACGCGACGCATCCAAGTGTGCAGGCATTACATTGTCTAAACCTGTCATGGTAATCACGAATGGATAAGGTGGAGAGTATATGTGTACATTGGCGTCATTTCATCTGTTACCATTAGTGCGCGTAGGGAAAACGCAAAAATGACGTGAAGCCTTATTTTTTGTCATCGTTATCGTCATTTGAAGCGTAACACAGAATCAGTGCTAACCGTTATTGCATGTAGAGCAAGAGATAAAAAAATAACGTCAAAGCATTGTTTCTGTCCCCATTATCATCACTAGCAACAGAAACAGAATACTCTACGTCCAGTGAGATAAGGAGAACCCTGTCATGTCACGATAGCTCCTTTATCACTTCTGTCATGTGACTACAACCTAATCGCGCTTTCTTGGTACTTTCTGTTTAGTTGTGTGACTGTTTTTAACGAGTACTTTCCTGTCAAATCTTCAGCGAATCAACGGCTCATCTCGCGTTTTTTCACCCACGTCTCTTTGAAAACGGGCAGGACAAAGCCTCTTTTGCTCTTCGGGTGGCCACTCGGGCTATCAGCTTCTGTCAGCCGCCGCAGTAGTGGCCTTATCCAGCGTGCGAACAAATGTGATGTAGAGAAAAAAAATTGTAGCAGCCTACGTATTTCCGCAAGCGCAACGTGAAGCGGCACCGCGAAAGCGAATCCTTTACTTGATAACCCTTCTATAGCCTTATCGCCTTCACACTAAGCTAGCTACAAGTTTCATGAAACAAAGTACACGTAACTTTTTTTTTCTTATTGTCTTCGTAACAATGCCACTCTCATACACCACTTGTACTGGACCGATTGCCAGTACAAGTGGTGTATGAGATATCACCCAAATGTAGAAGGTCCTCTACGTGGGACTAACGGGGCACTGCCTGAAAGAAGAAGGGCACCTGCCCACTCAATGCTCCGAGTGCGAGCCTTTGCTCGGGGAGATAAATATCTTGGGAAGGAGCAGCACTGAAGTGGACCGGGAACTTTTGGAAACATTTATCAATAAGGAGAAGGGTGATGATTGCATAAGCGCCCCTTTGAATAATCTATATAACGCAGAAGGCCATAGATGAGAAGTAAACACGCAAAGGCTCATGGGATGCGTGCGGTCTGCACCGGCTTCCGGTTCAACGACTCTTCATCTGCTGCGTCGGTCCTTGGGTATCGGTACAGTGTTCTTGTATCAGTGTCGCTCGCTTTCTTTATGGCGTTTACTCAGTTGTAGCCGCGCAGGTTATCCCCCTAGTGTTGCATTCCAATGAATTCTTACTTACCGTCTTTACATAAGGTAAATCCAGCCCTGGACTGAAGGCAGGTTATCGTGGAAGCATGTCATCACTGTATTATTCTTATTTTATCCATTTTGAAGCATCTTTTTTTTTTGGTCTCTACCAACGAGGCAGGGGTGAGGGGGGCTGCGATGTAGCTTTGCCCCCCTCTTTTAATGAGGAACCCTGCTCACGCTTATGAGGTGAACTAAGGACTATCTAATCAGTCCGTCTATCCGATCGGCGAGTTCCCAAATCCCACCTGTGAGGCAAACGACGCTGGCGCAGAGGACGAGTGGCCAGGAGGCCTCTTCCCTGCTGACCCCGTACGTGTCGACGATGCCAAAGAAGAGCACGCCCGCGGACTGCTGCGTCATCATGGAGCCGCACAGCAGCCAGCTGAGGAAGCCCGCCGTCACCCAGCTCCAGCGGGAGTCCAACCCGAAGCGCGGGTCCGACTTCAGTGACGCCTCGCTGCGAGCCATCGCGGCGGCTTCTGAAATCAATTGGCACGCTTAGTCAAAGTTCATTCGGATCCAGATAAGAAAAGAAAGTTGCATGATACTCAAGAAGCTTTACCACTATCCCTAAAAAGGAAGGTACATAACAGCTGCATCTTACGTACACGGAGCAGAAACCTAAAGGATCACAAATAGAGGTCAACTTAAATTGAGCATGACGCAGAGAGCAGCGGAAATAAAACGGTAAGTGTAACCTTAAGTCACAGGAAGAGGACAAAGAGGGGGAAGGAACAAACGTGTTTGACGTACATCTTAGTCGAAGTCAACAACTGGGCAAAGGGCATGTAACACGCAAGCGAGATACCCGCTAGCCATTAACGATAACGAGACTTGATTTCAAGAGGAGGCAAACGCGCGGAAGAAAGAAAGTTAGGTGGGTATGTGGGACTAAGTTTGCGGGTATAACGTGGCAGCAGCAGCAATCACAGCACCGTGTTAATAGGCGGAACAATGGAGAAGCTTTTTCTCTGCAGTGAGTGCGTTTTGTCAGGCTGGTGATGGGGATGATTATGGCTCAAGACTAGTGCAGGGGGATGGGGATGCAGGGAGGTGGTTGCTGTTTAGTAACGCATAGTAATAAACGTAGAGGTGCCCTTAGTAGTAGGGCCCAGTAAAAACTGGTCATGACGAGCAGTTAGTCTGCGCTCATCGTGTCCATTTCTTTCCTGTGTTCTCTTCATAGGCGTAGTAGCTTCATGCATTTTCAAGCATGCTACTCACAAACGTTTTTATTGTTTCATGATCTCCAATTGCGATTATTTGTTGCCAACAGGTGCAATACGTTTTCGTGACAAGCAAAGGCTATAACAAAGATTAAGTTACGCGAGTGTTAAGTACTGGCTTAGGGGACATAAATACAAGTCTAGGGGAGAGAGAACAAAATATAATGAATAATATTACAATAAAAATGAACAAACTGTGCGCAATAAGAAGCTTGAAGTGGTAGTTAAACAGCTCTTTAAACAATTCTCGGCTGGTCTCATTAACAATGTACTAAAGAAAATGCACTGAAGCAACTCAAACGGAATTATGTATACCAGTGGAACAGTGGAAACTCGTGTGATTAGCAATAAAGAGCCAGATAGATTGACTTGGAGTTGTATTTATGGAGAGGTGCTACGTGTAGAAAGGAGCGTGCCGAGGTTTTGTATTGGTTGAAAAGAGCTAATTCGGAAATCTTGAGTTAAGTTAACGATGGCGCAGTCGTATCACAGCTCAACGTGTATGAATATTACATATCTATTTTACTTCGCCAAGAGCCTGAAAATAAGGCATTGTTTCTTCATTTCATTGCTCTGACATTTGAAAAATGATTCATTCTAAGAGTGTTTGCCTTGAAGCTTGCCTTTCACTTGTTCTAAACTTCCAACGAAGACTACACAAGTCTTTACAAACACTGAAGGAAGCATGGACCATTCATATTTTATACGCGTATGTCGGGCAAACGCTTCAAGTCCCGTCGACTTATCAGTTGAACAGAAACTCACAAAGTCACCTATGAAACCAACAAAGATGATTCTAAGGTGGTGAAAGTTATCTTCTAACAACTCTCATTCGATGTATCAATGCAGCCCCGCAACCCTTCGAAAGCTTTCTGATTCTAACGTCGTTTTACACTTATTCCAAGATTGGCACCTCCCCTGGTTGTGCTTCGTTTCCGCAATTTGACCTCATTTGACAAAGCTACGATCCAGTGCGATGACATCATAACCAAAGAGGTCTCAGTAACTAGAGAGAACTTCGGCGCTAGTGTCTACGGGAGCTGCAACGCACGGCGCTTCATCTATAGCATGGCAATGATAGCTACAGTACTCGGACCTGTCTATAATTTTTGTTGTTTTTCGGCTTTGTTTAGCTCCATGTGGCCTGAATCCGCTTTGTCGCAAAACGATGTTCAGCAAAGGTTTAGCAGTCACGTTTCATCACCTTGACCTTATTAGGTTCACCGATTCAAGTCAAGTCACGAAATTCACAACGGTCCGCTCTTTCAATCGAAACGAAACCGAAACTCAGCAGTAAGCAAAGTCATAAGCACGCTGAAGCCACAAGCACGAAGACTGGGGCCAAGTTTGTGTACAGTCTACCACAAAAGTTTGCGCACCACGCGAGCACGTACGAAACTCGAGTTACTGTATATGCTACCGAAAAGTAGCATATGCAGCAACTCTAGTTTTAGCCATATTTGAAGGCATCATCTGCTTCTTCTGGAGCACCGTTCGAGGCGACGAGTGTCGGCCCGTGTTCCTGAGGCGGGCGTGGGACCAGGCCGAGTCTATTCAAGGTCCAGCCTCAGTGGCCTATAGATCAAGGTTCAAGGACGTGACCTGCGGTGCGGCTGCTGCCTGGGTGCAGCGGCCGAAAGCGGGTTCGTGAACGAGGCCTGCCTGGTGCTGCCTTCGTGGGCTGTTGCGTGATCATGATACTCGGGAGTCACGGCCCACGTTGCTGAGTTGGCCGCCGAGTGTTATGCAACGGTGCTGCACACGGTAGCACATCCGTGTGTTCGGACCATGCCGCTTCGGCCCTGCCGCGCGACGACCGGCACACCACGACGGGAGGGCAGTGTTCCGTACCGTGAGGCGGTGTTTTCTTATTCCCCCCTTAACAGTCAGGAACTCTACGCGCATGACAGAGTTGTGCAGTAACATAGCCGAACTCTGAACAGTTTAGGACTGCCTGCTGCGCATGCTTGTCATTATACACTGTACGTATAGTTTCACTTGGTTTATCGCATTTCTATCTTCTATTCACTGGCGTGCTTCATATATAAAATCCTTCTCTTTACCTCTAAAACGTTCTTGCAAATCCTTTCTCGTCCATCAGCCGCAAACCACGGGAAAAATGTCGATAACCATCCCACCAAAAAAAGGTGTAGGGAGTATTTACGTGCCGTCATCACGCACCCTTTGTCGTTTTACTCCCAGTTTCTAGCTGTTCCGAAGATACGCAGATTAAGATTAGAAAGCGTGTGCCTTCCTCTGTGCTTTTTGTACTACAAAATGGCGGCGGCAATGAGGTTAGCACATACTCCCTATAGGAGATATTATTATTAGTAACTGTAATGCAAATGTGTAAAAAAGAAAAGCGGATGAAAAGATAACTTGGCGCTGTCAGGGACCGAGCCTGTGACCTTCGAGTAACACTTACACATTTGTTTTGTCACATTTACACTACTAATGCTATACCTATACCATTCACTATACTGTCCTTGGCAACACTGTCCTTTACTTTTCATTAATATTGCGTCTAACAAAGACGGCGAGTTCTGAAGTTTACTCTACTGTACGTTTCAACTTTTCTTTAAAAGGCATTCCTTGATTGATATGTGGCGTTTAACGTCCCAAAACCACCATATGATTATGAGAGACGCCGTAGTGGAGGGCTTCGGAAATTTTAACCACCTGGAGTTCTTTAACGTGCACCCAAATCTGAGCACACAGGCCTACAACATTTCCGCCTCCATCGGAAGTGCAGCCGCTGCAGCCGGGATTCGAAACCGCGACCTGCGAGTCAGCAGCCGAGTACTTTAGCCACTAGACTACCGTGGTCGGGCTAAAAGGCATTCCTAACACTCCGCGTACATACAACCATACCAGTTGCAATGACAACCATACCGGCTGTGCAATGACACACGTTTTGCTATCGGTAACACGAGCGATAAATATACTGCGTCTGCTCATCGCTGTGATGAAACGCCGTGAGGGAAATCAGTCGTTTCTATACACCAAACGTTAATGAGCACTGCAATCGCGGCACGCGTAGGTGGGTGGGCTATACGAGCTATTTTTTCTTCATTTCGCGGACCCTTGTAGTCCACGGGAAAGCATTATTTTGCTGAGCAGATAATAATTCATGAATCGTTTAATCGGCTGTTTTCCAAGCAGAGCTTCCATTTAAATTATTCGCCCAAACTGGCTGCATAAAAATCTCGCTGATCAAACATGCCTAGGAAGCAATAGGCAGAATGCAAAAAACACATCTGCGCGACGAATTGTAAGTATTGTTTAAAGATTTTGTCGAAGGGGCATGTAGCGAAGAGTGTTTAGGCTCCGCTAACGGGAAACCCAGGGAGGGCTGAAGCATGCTGTGTGAGCCGGTGTTTCTCACAGCAAAATCTATACTCTTTACTGCTTTACTCGCCGCCGTTCCACAAACGCACCATCACTTTGCACATATCTTTCAAAGAGTGTTGTTTGAAGTAGATAACTTTACCGTAGAGATGTATGTCTGTGTCTCTGTTTTTAGACAAGAAACATGAGTGCCTCGGATAATTTCTTCGGGTATTCTGACAGCACTGCTGAGCTAAATAGAATGCTTCAGGTACTAACGATGAACCTTTAACTCATATTATTCGAAGTATGGATCGATGGCGAGAAGTGTGATTCACCCGATTTTCGTGGCGCATACCCATTCATGACGGATTGTGACGACGACATGGCATGCCGACAAGTCGAGACCCTATAAGGTGCTTCACCCCTACAAATAGCTCGATCTACTCCGTACAATATTCGAAAGCGCACATTTCATCGCATCGTCATAGAGTGCGCCGGTATATTTTTAAACTCTGGCAAAGGTTATCTGGCGCATTCTGTGCAGCGGAGCACTCTGGCTACATAGACTGAGCATTCAGTACCATCCACAGTGCACTGTAAGAAAAAAAATTTCACATGAAATACCTGATCATTGCTCCAAATGTAATCGCCAAACATAGTGGCTGCACTGCTTTAACGCTGCACCCCGCGTATTTCAGGAATGCCAATGACATGCGGGTTTTAACATGATGGTGCGTTCCTGAAGAAAGTACAGTGCATGCAGTGCTACTAAATATGAAATGCCCACAATGTATTCATATAATTAGCCTTAAGGTAATTGGAAGAAACTGGTGAGAATGCAACAAAATGAAAGCGAGTTTGATTGCCGGCAGCAAAACTACCTTGGTTCAACACCATAGTGACGGCGTTAGTGCTGATTACCTAAAGTGAATTTACCTGAATGCTGGAAGCGAGTGACAGGTGCGTACCGCAGCGAGGCGCGAATGCAAGTGGCGTCGACTGACGTTCTCCCTCAGCCTAAGGTGGTGGGGGGAACAAGGTTCGGGGCAGCCAATGAGGCGGTCTTGCGTGTCTTCGATTAGAACGGAAGTCAAGGACTCGCGATAGCAGCCCCTTTTGGGCAGCAACAAACTATCTTATCTGCCAGCGCCGCCAATGCAAAACACGCAAACACACAGACACACACTGAGCAACGCCGTAGTGAAACACGCGGATAAGCGTTATTCGTCTCGAATGTGCGTCAACGGGCGGAGCGCTGCCGATGAACACCGTTCATCAGACGTGCGCGAAACTGACGACCGGGATGGGTTACCGCCTACGTGTGTGAGCCGCAATGTTCATGCCAATACAAGTCCGCTAAACAGCCTGTGCTCCTCAAGGATCTCTACATTGCACGTCTGCTTGGTTTTAGGGAGAATAAAACCTATCGTTCTGTCACTAAAGTTTCGATCACTTGTCGATCATCGCGTAAAAGTTACATAATCTTCCTTTAAGACACCTCGAAAGATATCAGTACAATGTCTTCAACATATCAAAAAAAAGGAGTAATAGTTATTAATCAGAAATTAACGGCATCTTCCCAAAGGGTTAACTGGCGGAACATGGGAAAGGCCTTTGTCCTGCAGTGGACGTAGTCAGGCTGATGATGATGATGATGATGATGATGATGATGATGATGATGATGATGATGATGATGATGATGATGATGATGATGATGAAACCCTGATGGGATGCCAAGAAGTGGCGTTGCACATGGACGTGATCGACATTTTTGACTCGCACCTCGTCGGTGTCGTTGGTCTTCCGCTGCCGCCGCTTGCGTTTGGCTTCCCTGATTCGCGCCTCGTCAGTGTTGCAGGCACGACGTCACCATTCGCGAACGCGATCGGCTCTGCTAACCTTCGCAACGCCAGCGATGGCTGGGTAGGGCCAAATCACTTCAGCGCATGTTTCGGTGTCCTCTCTATCGCAGATAAACGACCCGAAAGAGTGCTCATTCGATGCATGCTTGAACGTCGCGAGCGATGGAGAGGGTGTATCGAGAGAGAGGTGACACGCGGCGAACGCGCAGCAGGTGAAGGAGAGAACGACGTCACCACGCCATGCGAAGGATGGCATGACCTACTTGGCACCACCCTAACACCTGCGGTGAGGGGAGCACTGTGCGGCACGTTGGCACGGACGGACAGCGTTACACGGGCTAGTCAAAGAGCTGCTTCGCATCTAATAAACGTTGATTTAGACTGCAACGATCCTCATCGAGATTTTCTTAACGATTAAAGAAAGGAAAAAGAAAAATTCACCAGTTACACCTCGTGAAAACTGCACAAACTGCGGAATAGCAGACGATTCGCCTGCCTCCGTGAAAGCTTGGCTCGTGTTTGTCCTTGCCGAAACTGTGAGTTCGCCTGCCAGTCCTTCCATAGTCCTACATGAGTTCATTGATCGTGCTCGGCATTTTGTACCAGGACAGCAGAACCGGGTGGCCTACTCATTGAGAAAGCATGCTGGCATTTAGACATGCTTGGGTGGCCAGACGTGCTTCAAGAGTGAGTTCTCCATGCAGTCGACGTAAAGGGATTGTTTCAAACCCTTACGAACATATAGGCAAGAAATATATTTATCTATATTTCCCTACGTTGTTTCTGCCCCCACCCCTTTATTTCTTAAATACAGCCGATACTCTACCAAGTTTAACTTTATTAGGAAACGTCCCTGAACGAACCACGAGATTACAAGTATGGGCCAAGGATGTGTTCTGAGACGCCGTGCTGGATGACCTATCGGGAGCCGTTTGTGGGAGCCTACCGCTATGCACTTGACTTTCTAGCCAGGCCTACGCTCAAAGCAAACGCCGCAGATAAAAGTCTGAGGTATACCAGCATCGGCAAAAAAAGCATGCAAGGGTGTCTCCCACACTCGTAGACGCTATTCAACTTGGCGGTGTGCTGCTAAACAGAACAGTCGACGCCCGATAATATGCTTGCAACATATGCTGATAAATATATGAATGGCATATACTTACGCTCTCCTGACGTACTTGAAAGGGTATTTTGATAAGGAGTGTCTAGAAAAATAAGAGGCTTACAGAATCAATCATCGTCTATAGAAGTGGCCCAAGAGTGCATCAACAATCACGATGATGTGATCATGATGATGTGATGTGTGGGGTTTAACCTACCAACACCATCATATGATTATTAGAGACGCCGTAGTGGAGGACTCCGGACATTTCGATCACCTGGGGGTTTTTAACGTGCACCCAAATCTGAGCACATGGACCTACTGCATTTTTACCTCCATCGGAAATGCAGCCGCCACAGCCGGGATTCGATCCCACGATTTGCGAGTCAGCAGCCGAGTACCTTAGCCACTAGGCCACCGTGGCGGGGCCTGAGCAATCATCGTCTGTGTATCTGGGCATGGGGGTTCGTCAGAAAATCAAAGGTGTAGCTTAACTGCAGGCAGATGTTACACTACAACACGCGCTTGAAATTCCTTGCACAAGCGAGGCAACATCCCAACCTATGCAATTCTTCTTACGCGCTTACCAAAAGCAAGAACGACAGAACTTTTCCCGAGACCGATGCCAGATGGATCTGAATACCAGGTTCGTTATGTAGCGACACTCAGTCGCTTCTCTCTCTTGATCATCGTATATGGTCAAGTACCCATCGATGTACCCGAGTACTTTAATCCATTTGCGTGGAAATCCTTCCCGCTCAGAAAGCTAGGGAACCTAGCTTTCTGGGGGGTTGCTGTGAGGGGGGGGGGGGGGGTCGCTGTGTCACGCTTTTAAGTTTCTTGCTATCGGAGCAGCTCCCCTGGGGGAGGGGGGGAGGGGAGTGGTTATTTTTGTGGAAAGGAAGAGAAAAGCGCACCCCACAGCTGTCTCTCACAGAAGAGGACACATGAGCAGTAGTGCACGGGGAAGGGGTGAACGGGAATAATAGATAGTGAGGAAAAAAAAGAAAAAAAGGGGGCTCCCCTGTTCCTTAGTTTTGAGTGTGTGTGTGTGTGTGTGTGTGTGTGTGTGTGTGTGTGTGTGTGTGTGTGTGTGTGCGTTTGTGTGTGTGTGTGTGTGTGTGTGTGTGCGTTTGTGCGTGTGTGTGTGTGTGTGTGTGTGTGTGTGTGTGTGTGTGTGTGTGTGTGTGTGTGTGTGTGTGTGTGTGTGTGTGTGTGTGTGTGTGTGTGTGTGTGTGTGTGTGTGTGTGTGTGTGTGTGTGTGTGTGTGTGTGTGTGTGTGTGTGTGTGTGTGTCATACCTATTCACTTTAAAAGGGCAACAAAAAGGCATTATTTACAGTGACCGAAACAAGGTACCGTACTTATTAACATAGTCTCAGTGCATTCGAATGCTTCACACAGGTAGTATATCAGCGCTTAAAAGGTAATAATCGTTGTTCGGGTTTCAAGTGCCAAAACAACGATAATATTAGGAGAAACGTCGCAGTGGAATAATTGTGACCATCTTGTTATTTGGTCGACAGGTCTTGTTAATTTTCTGTAATTTACTGAGTTTGTTGTAATTGTCTATTACAACGCGTGTCGCACTTGCTTATCTTTTGTTAACTTATGCTTCTTCGTTTCGACAATATCAGAATGACGTTTATATATCTCGGTTGCGTAATTTAAAACAATTTTCCCTTGATACATGGATATCTCCGGCGTCATTTTTCCATTTAATGACGATACGTCGAGATGATTCCTCTCATAAATTATCAGAATCGGAATCACACACTGTTTTAAATTAAATAGTCAGCAGCCGGGTAGCAAAAAGGTAGTAACGGAGCAAGAAAGGTACTAACAAATGCAGGTACTACCTGTTTCATTCCAGTTACTAACTATTTACTAACATAGGTAGCAAACAGGTCGCAAAGGGTTAGTAACGGCTGCAGCTAGTAACTGTTTACTAACGTTGGTAGTAAACAGACTGCAAAAGGATAGTAATGGTTCGAGAAAGGTACTAAGCGCTGCAGTTACTACCAGTTTGCTTGCAGTTGCTACCTTTTCACTAACTTTTTTTTTTCTAAGAGTGTACGCGGCCGCGACTGTTCACTACAAACAGATCCAGACCTTTGTGAAACGAGCAGCGCAAGTAACGACGGAGACGTGTGGCTAAAAAGCAGAGAGATGCAGATCATGTGGCGCGGTTGCCTAGTTTGGTCACATGGGAGTGTGTGGACCTAATAGAAGATTCAAGCAGCGTCGGTTCCTTTGTCTCGACCGCCGGCAGCCTCCGCTCCCGCTGCAAGATCACATTGCTTAGCTGGAACATCACAGCCGAACTCGCGACTATCCAGCGAGCCGAGCTAGAAGCCACCTAAATACTATCAAAAACCACGTCTGTGGCTGGGACCGAGACCAGCTAAAAAAAAAGGGGGGGGGGGGGGATTCTAGTTTTACTGATTTCGAAATGGCGTTCGCAATAGTCTTATTTACAGGTTACTGAGGACAATTTTTTTAATAACTTCGTGTTTACGAAAACGGAAACGCTTCAGAGCACTATGCAGTCTACTGTGGGATAACTACGCCACTGTTTCATAATCAAGTTTCAAGTTTCAACGAAGAAACCACCTGTAAAAGCCAACCAGACAGGGTAAAAACAATGAGGGCGAAGTCTAAAAGTGGCTATTTCTCACCAAATCCTAAGTTCTCCTCGGATCGTTGACATTCCATCAAGCTGTCGTTGGCACTAATGAATATAAGGGGACTGTGTGGACGTTAGTACGTTAGTAAAACTTAATGGTGAGCAGCCACCAAATGAGCCAAGTTCTAGCCTGTAGCTGTCGCACAAAATTAAGCGATGATTGTATTTACTTGAAACGAGCTCAAGAACTAACAGCTTACCTCGTACGTTCCGAAGGGGCACTCAGAACATAGCGCTGCGGCCGGTGTGCTGAAAAAAACATTTAAAAACGCGGAGCCGTTCTCGCTACGTCCTCCGACAGGTTGCGCGACTCACTACCGGCGATGCAAGTTCATAAGAGAAGCAGATGT